TGTTACTAGGGACATAATTTTTAAATTACATTTTATTAATTCTTTCAACACAATGTAAGATTATGTTTAATATAAAATATAATACATATTTATGCATTTTGATATTTTACAAATGTATGAAACAATTCTTTTTTGGGAAGAAAAGAAACTAAACTTTATCCGAAAGTTTCTTTGTGCATCAACATTTGTTCCGGTTTTTATTTAAATTCATAAAAAAGAACTAATTGCATGAAATTTATGAAAACCTGTCTCCTTGCTTATATTTTCAAGTCATTCAATAATTTGATGACAGTCCGTGGCAGGATATCGAGAGAAACAGTAATATTAACGTCTTTGGAACGGTGCTTGAATGATGGCTTCTTTCCTCGTCATATTATTAAAGCCGTCTATGTATATTAAATACCTCCTTCATTAAAAAATCTTCGACCTGTCCTGCATCAATATTCGTTCTGGCTTTATTTAAGTTTCTTTGACGGCAAAGTTTAATCAAAGTTTAGAGGTTAATTTGTGTTAATTTTGTTCAAAAATATTTACTCGATACTTTTGTTATTAAGTTAGAAATATTTTCTTGATATACTACCAAATATAATAAATAACTGCAAAATAAGATTGTTTTTAAAATAGGATTGCCATATGCAGTAGTTATGTGGTGTGTGCTACTGATGCCGACAGATATAAGTAGTATATATCATCAATCAAAAGTGAAATATCTGGTAGCAGATGGTTAGAAAGATCTAAGAAAGAGAACGAGAACAGAGAATGATTGGCGTGGAAACGAAGGAACAATTAAGTGTGGGGAAATTGATTGACATTTTGCAAATGAATTATTTACTACATGATTCTCAGATTTTACTAAGCTGTTCTGTAATTTTGTATTCAAATACATTCGATTGCCCCAATTGTGTTCTCATTCGCTACATTACTAGTAAAGAAATTTGTACGTTTAAATATAACTAAGACTATTATTAACATACATTCATTTGTTGGATTTTTAATAAAATGATTTACAAACTCTATTCACAACGATGTATCATACTTTAAAATATACTCTATAAGGATTAAACAAATTAATGTTTTGTCATTCATAAAAATCATACATATTCTCTGTTACATTTAATTATCGTTAAAATATCAGACTTTTCTAAATTTTTATCTTTTTTTATCATCGGAAATGATGTCGCATAAGATAGATAATTATGAATATTGTTCATTATGCTTGTTTTCTGGAAAGCGTTTCTCCCCCTTCCTCTTTCTCCTAATAGTCGACTGAATTATAAAGACCTCGACATCCGAGGGAAAACACGGCATACAATGGACAGCTCAGAACCAATTAGACGATTTGGACTTCGCAGATGACTTAGCCCTTCTATACCATACACACCAACAAACGCAGATAAAGACAGCCAGTATAGCAGCAGTCTCTGCACCAATAGGCCTCAACATACATAAGGGGTAAACCAAGGCCCTCAAATACAACACAGAGAACACCAATCCAATCACACTTGATGGCGAAACTCTGGAAGATGTAGATGTGAAGGCAAGGATTGGGAAAGCAAGGGCCGCATCCCTACAATTGAAGAACATATGGAACTCAAAACAACTTTCAACCAATACCAAAGTCAAGACACTTATACTGTACGGAGCTGAAACGTGGAGAAACACTACAACCACCATCAAGAAAGTATAAGTCTTTATAAACAATTTTCTACTCAAGATAGTCAATCTCCAGTGGCCGCATACCATCAACAACAGCCTATTGTGGAAGAGAGCAAACCAGCTGAAGGGGTAATTAGAAAAAGACAATGGAAATGGATAGGGCATACATTACGCAAATCATCAAAATGCATCACGAGGCAAGTCCTAACTTGGAATCCTGAAGGGAAGCTGAAAAGAGGAAGGCCAAAGGACAGATATGAAGAGGATGAATAACAACTGTAAAGTGCTGAAAATGATTGCTCAGGACAGGGTTGGATGGCGAATGCTGGTTGGCGGCCTACGCTCCTCCACGAGGGGTAACAAGCGTAAGTAAGTAATGCTTGTTTTCTTTAATAATGACTTAATAGATTTCCTGAATTATTAAGGAAATATTGTAATAAGCTAAAATATAAGTAACAATTATAAAAAAGGGAAGTTGAATTATTTTTAATTCATATTGTTTTATGTCCTCTACTTGATTATGGCAAATATAATATAGAACTAGTGGCAGTCGAATGTGTAGAAACCCAGTTGCCAATCAAAAGATGGAAGGAGCAGGGGAAGTGGTTATTTAATAACAATAAGACAAAACGACCGTCCAGTTCTATCAGGTTTTCCATGGTGGCCTAGCTTCATCTGACTCATGATCTGAACTATAGAAAATACTATAATATCCACAAAAACCCCTTTTGATATTTGATAAGTCAAAAATGTCCAGAAAATAAAGATATTTAGGATTTTTATTACAGGCTATAACACCATTATGATCCAACCAACCCTCAAGTAAAAAGTTATTTAATTGCCTAGTGATAATATCCCTCATTGATAATCAAGAAGTTTATATTAGGTTCTGAGTGGATGGAATCCCTTTGGCCTCTTAAGAGCATCTGGAGGCTTTGTCGGGTTGTTTGGGAACCATTTCAACATATCTATTACCTACTTTTGATGTAGATTGTCTTTGTCATGATTAGCTAATCATGAGTCTAAACCTACTTCCCTTCATTGATATTTTCCTATTTATTCTGGAAATTTTTCATTCTGAGTTAAATGAATATTAGTTTAAATTTTCATCATGCGTTGAAGTTAAGTGAACGGGCATTGGGAGATAGATAGCACTGAGCAGTTGTGCGGCCTCATTTTGAAACCACATATTCATGACCATACATGAAATTAATCTTAGAATCATCAGGAATTATGACGACTATATAATCACTCATAAAAACGTACTTCTCAATTTTACAATGATATTAAGATTCACGTTATGGAATAAATACTAGACATTCTGAAACCGGTCAAATCCGAAAGTTCTTAATCCCTACCTAGTTCGGACTAAACAATCCTATTTTTGATCGGTAAAGGAAAAGACAATAATTAATGGAACAATGAGATCTTATATTTAGGACCATATGAAAATGCCACCAAATATATGTGTGACAAGTACATGCCGAATATATACCAAGTAATTCACCAATGAATAACTGCCCGATTTTCACATCACTTTTGCCACCTTTTCCCAGCATTTACCAAGTTTTCTGTCCAGTAAGTCCTCCTTGCTTTTGACACTTGTAACAATCGAAATTAGTTTTATATGCAGTGAGTAAAAGACTACTGCCTACGAGGACTGAATAAACCTTTTGTATTCTCTGAGTTTCCACTGAATCGCAATAAACTAACAATATCATATAGATAAAACAACTAAACTGAAAAACTACACTTAAAACCCCTAGAAAATTCTATTTAAGCCAGTCCTGAGACATCATGTACCAAAGAAATTGTCCTCTGGTGTGTACATCACTAAAAACTTTAGGTCATCCTCAAGTAGGTGTTATAAGCCTATTTATTCTTCAAAATATTAACTGATTACTTGCCCAAGCATCTACGCTATACATATTGTTTGTGGGTCCTTTCCATCAACCAAAACTCACTGTAAATTCTGCTTATGCTGACCTCCGTTAAATGGGTTATATTATTCCATTTGTTTCAACACCTCGAAGAAACTGAAATCCATTAAATCGTACGGAAAATTACAAAAATATGTATAAAACCGACTTCCCATTAATTTAAAAATACCTAATTATCTCTCCGCAATATATACATTCTTCACATTTCCAAAAACCAATACTCATATATCGTTCACTAAAGATTTATTTTAAATCAACCGAACCAACTCGCACTAAACAATGATTTTCACACCTAATACTCTTATTTAGTCATATAAGAACCACTACTTACATAAATTACGTTTACATTGCTACTTAAATTTCGAGAACTTAGGTGGGGTGATGTGAGGTGCTGCAAAATAGGATTACATAAAAACCGGGACAAATCCCATTATATAATAGTACAGTTGCTGATGAAACTACTAAATATCATTGTTCAAGATATTCATGTTTCGAAATCCCTACACTTAAATTATAAGTTAACTCGGAATTGATTTTTATAGAATATTGTGACACGTATCCGCCTATACAGACGCTATGCTTGAAAAAACTTTCAGAAGTTGGGATATTTTATCATAACAAACTATATTTTGTCAAGTGGTACGCTAGAATACATTGTGAAATCAGAAGAAATAATAGTTTAGATGAAATTCTTCATACGAAGTACTGTTTCGAAACACCATGAAAGTGGAAAATCATTTATTACACTACCTACTAACAACAAATATAAGTAGCTAAACAAATTAGATAAAAGTACTTAGTCCATTTGGAAGCAGTGTTAAAAGCACGAATAAGCCTAAGATGTATAACCAGACGTTACTCATAGCAATTAATGGATTTTTAGTACAGACAAAGTCCCACCAAATATGGAATACAATATCGATATTTCGCAGCCTAATAGTGCTTGATGATGAATTCTAAAAAACGAAACATAAAAATAGGACACAAATCTGTTCCAGTACAAAACGAAATTATCACCTTGAAAGACTATGCATTACAAAATAATTTTTTGATTATAAATCATTCACCAAAGACATGTTTATTTACGTACATATGAGTTACAAGTTCAAAATAAGACGTCAAAAGTAGATGGAGCAAGGGTTGCATCTTACAACCCAATGCTAAAATGTTCATGGTTGTAAACATGAAACTACTGCTCTGAAATTAAATTTCCTAAAATAACCATCAATGTAAACAAAATAAACTGTTGACATAGTTTGGGAATAGAAAGAAAACAAATAGAATGACGGAAGTATATCACATGTGCATCATACAAATTAAAATCAAAACATGACAACCACAAAACACCAGAGGAAAACTGTGCATAGAAAATAAAGTATCCCTTCCTAATAAGTATAAAGTTGATTACAAATTTTTCATTTTAGCCATGAGTGATTCAAGGCTATCGTTTGTCTGTGAAATAAAAGAATCAGATGTCTCTTGAGAGTTTGAATCAAATTTTTTGTTATCCACTGTATACAATGTTTTTACACCAACTATTTCAGAATTTGAATTGGATAAATCATGTTTTATATTACAAGTGGATTCTGTAAAACTCGATGATTCTGATTCTAATTCAATGCCAAAATCATTTTCTTCATGTTTTGACTTGGATAATGCTTCTTTAAGTTTTTCATTTTTAATTTGTTGGGCCTTCAAACGTTCTTCAATATTCCAAGGAGAATCAATTGGAAGATTTAATTGTTGTAAGTGATTACGCCATTGAATTTGACGCACGTTACACCATGAATCAGCACAATCTGGATTTGCTTTCAATTCAACACGATAAAACGAATCTTTAGCCGCTCCATAACCTAAGTAACTAGAAACCTTTTGTACAAAAATAGGTAAAAAGAAAGTAATATTTACAGCCAACAGAATATTCTTTTTTACGTTTTCATCTAAAAGAATTTATGAAAAGTTAAAAATTAATTTTATTTTACTTAATTCCAATAAACTAATATGTTTAGACTATTTTTAAAAAAACACTATGTGGAAGTATGGTCAAATGGACAAGAAACAAAACTCTGATTCTAACAAGCAAATAAATGATTCTTGTAGAAATAACAAAGACGCAACGTACCATTCAGTTTTCTAGAAAATATTAACTGAGTTATATAAGGAAGACAATAGCCATTTCACAAATATCAATCAACGATAGTGTACGGTTTCGAATAGATATACTCATTGTTTAATATAATAATAATTAGTAATTGTCTACAAATGTTAGTCGCTTCTTCATAATTAATGTAACTACCGTACAGTCATAATAGAACCCTCAATCTTTCAAAATTCACATTTTGAAAAATATGAATAACTTAAGGTAGAACTTCCATTTTGATTTTTGTTTGCTAAAAAGGAATTTTAAAAAACCCTAAAAATCAAACGGTTTTCCACCAGTTCTATCCAGTTTGTTGGAGCATTGCTATCTTTTTTTTCATACCTCTTACACTAATATACACCAAACAAAAACAAAAACAAAATACAGAAAAAAGCTTCAATTAATCCAATCAGTCAGTAACAACGTAGAACTTCGTACGTACGTACATCAGTTCGAGTTGCCATATCACATTAGCACAGTGATGCAGTGGTCGATTCAAATCCCGTAGTGCTAGATGTAGTAAGAGTATAAGCAGTAATTGGAAAGATTGGGGTTTGGAGATGTTATTTAAAGAGAATAATCCAGTGAAATAAATTTGGGAAGAGAAAAAAGAGACAAGGAGGAATCAGGAGATTAATATTTGGGAGAACACAAAGAGTGGATGCACCTGCGCCATTGCAAACGATTCTGAGCCATGTCATTCAGGGTCTCTAACCATCGGTTGCTATCATCTCGCGGTTCCCAACCAGGTAGTCTACACCTACCAACATGACTCAGTCCACTTGTCAGTGACTTCATGGACTTGTGCCATGTTTTGGTCTGGCCGCCCCTAGATTTCTTCCAACCTACTCCTATACCACTGAACATCGCACGTCGAGGCAGTCGGTCGTTGGGCATACGTAACACATGTCCCAGCCATCTCAACTGATGAAGTTTCACTACTTCATCAATACAGATTATTTAAAGATCTGAATAGGTAAGTAAGGCTAGTATTCTTGAAATTATTGAATATAAATGTTACGTCATTGTTCACTCCATAACGTTGTGTAAATATGCTCTATACTACAATATCATAAATAGTCCGTCAAATTCACAATACATGAAATAAGATCTAATTAAATCTTGTTTATGAATATAGAACAAATAAACCTAATTCAATGCGTTTCATTTTAACAATAATCATCAAATTTGATGAATATATATATAAAAAGGTTAACATTTAATTATTCAGAAAGTTAATCAAATTGTAGAAATTCAGTAAGTTCAACGAATAGTTCACATGTGTATTAAATATGATCAATCAAAAAAAATAAACAAAAGATTAAAAGTAATTAATAAAAGATCAACATAATCTATTAAATGAACGAAAAACAAGAGATCATCAAAGAAATATCTCATACACTTGAAAATTGAACAACTTTTCAATTAAACAACCACATTAAGTCTACAATTATATGAACTAGATAATAATCTAATTATGTCAAGATAAAACAAGTTCATAAAAAATTTAAAATAATTGCTTCTATGTAATTGAAGATTTTACAAATACAATATGGTCGTTGATAAAATGAGCACAAGAATTATAATTGATTTATATGAAAATAGAATGAAGAAAAAGAAAAAGAAATGTCTAGATTTACTATACAACATTCGGTAAACATGTAAAAAAACTAGGTTGTTCAAATAAATCTTCCAAAATCCTACATAACACTAAGCCTTATTATTTATTTATTTATTTTAACACATAGATATTGGTACAAGGACACACCAAATACATATGTGCCACACAGATCTCATTCGATATATGTGAGGGCTGTGATACTGCTCGGGTGCCCAAACTGAAGCAGGCGGTTTTCTTAGGGGACCACATCCGGAGCCTGCGACCTGAAGGTCTGATCCACAAGGCAGTGGAGCATCGTAAGGAGATGCAGTCCCATGGAAGCCGGTGACCAACAATTGGTTCATACGCCATTTGTTCCTTCAGGATACTGGAGCCCATTTGCACCATTGGTTTGGAATCAGGGTTTCCCAACTCCCCTAGGTGGACTCTCCGTGTCCACCAACCCGGTTAAAGCGCCGGACGTTCGCTTTTCGTCCTCTCAATTTCGTAAACAACACCCCCGCCATGAGAAGGTAGCGAATAGGACTTCCCTGGCAGAGGCTATATACGCGTGGCCATATGAGAGCATTTCGAGAGGGAGAGCGGACTCTCCTCACTCTCGGCCGTACCAGGGCATTTGGGGGCAACACTAAGCTAAAAAGATTTTTTTAAATGTAAGAATAAAACATTTGTGCACATTTAAGGTTTGAAAAAATTATGTATTCAAATAGCTACTGATACTTGAAAGAGAATGTACAACTTATTCTCACTGTAGCAGTGATAAGGACGTTCACATGAGTCCGAATCCTTAATCAATCATTAAATAACCATGTTTTGTTTCTTAATTATTTACATACACAGTGTGTCTATTTTTAGTATTCAGTGGACTTCTGTATCTCAAATTGTGTTATGTTTTGTACTATCTATTATACTTTGATTAATGGCACTTTAAGTTGATTAAAATGAGCTGAAAATAAAATCTCGGGTAGAGTACCGACTCAAGGGTAATAAATGAAACAAGAGACAGACACAAAAACACAGGCGTTTATACGAGGAAGTTGTAAATAAATTTCGCCTTTTAGAAATATTCGAAAGAGCTGATAAAGTGAAAAGGACTAACCAACTTGTTTGAATTGTGCCTCAATAACAAGTAAACATAGACATCAGAGGTTTATTCGTTAGGAGTAAATTCTTCTAACCGTTAAGAAATTCTGAGACCTAATATGTTTTCTTTCTACCAAATATTTACCAATGTCAAGCTATGATAATGGATTTGTTGTACAGAAAGTCTTTTTATTTGACATTTTTTTAATGATCATATCAATCATGCCTTTTATTGTTACCAAAATAATCACAACGATGGTAGTAACCAAATATGGCATTAGTATCACCCAATTACTTCGAAATCAGCACATAAATACAGTTGCAATGAAAATAGATATTTAATTTTATTGATATTCACATCTATAAATATGAAAACAAAATATATGTGAACAATACTATATGCACAAGTCATAAATCGACTATTTCAAAAAATGTATTAAGTTATAAGTATATACTTGGTGTAATGTCTAACACTATTACTAAGTTGGTGAAAAAAACAGACAGTCTGGAATATGGAGCTTCGAGAACAGTCACAGCCCCGATTACTACTACTAACAAAAATGTCGCTTGAAATGAAAATAATAATTACTTAATCGTCAATCTTTGATATTTGGTCATAAAACCCTTATCATGGAAACAAAATGTATAGTAATACTGAGTTCCCAATGCTATCATGGAGTCATTAGGTATGATATAAAAAATTCTTATTGAAACTTCAGTTGCCGTTGACCTTCAATTAACGAAGTGGATAAACTGACTATAAATAAGAGAATAGTAAACTTAAATGTAGAAAATAAAACTTTGAACAACAGAAAAAACATACTTCGCCGAATTTTAGCAGATATTTCAAAGTATTCTGAACTAATAACGAAGAAACAAGAGCCATCGTAGTAGGAAGTGATGCTGCGCATACTCCTTCTCGTTTAAGAGTTTTTTCATCCAATCCGCTGGCCACAATTAGTGGTGGCAGGCATTCAAAACATGGTGTTCGACCAGGATACATAAGTTGAATATGACAGCTAACAGCATCTTCACTGACACCAGACTCATACCAAACCTATATTAAATAAAATTATGTAAAGACGAAATAATCAATGTGAATCACGCACCAAATTCAAATGAGTGGAATGCATATATTTATTTATTTAAACACAAACATTGGTACGAAGGGGCGCCAAAACATGTATGGGCCACACAACAAATCATTCAACGTTTGTGTGGGCTGGGGTACTTTCCGGGTGCCCAAACTGAAGCAGGTGGTTTTCTTAGAGAGGCCACCCCCCCCGAGCCTTTAACCTAAAGGTCCAATCCATAAAACAGTGGAACAATGTAAGGTGATGTAGTCCCATGGTAGCCGGTGACCAACAATAGGTTCATATGCCATTTATTTCCTTAGGATCCTAGAGCCCATGTGCAGCGCTGGTTTGGAATCAGGGTTTTCCAACTCCTCTAAATGAATCCTCCATACCCACCAACCCAGTCAGAGGCTGACATTCGCTTTTCGTCCTCTCAATTATGAAAAATATCATAATGACAATATTAATATATTCATAAAACTATATAGGAGGGAATATATTAAAAATACTAAGGAATAATTGGAAATGAAGTTAATGAAGACTTGATGGGGATAACCGAATTATCGTTTAATACAAAATTACAGAGTATCTTCGCAAAATATGAAAACCATACATTAAATACATCATTTGCATATCTTCCATCAGTTGTCTCTTACAAACTTTATCGTTCATTTTTGTTGTTGTTATCACAATGACTCTCTTATTATATTCTTATCCTATTCAATTCGATCTTCTCCACTTTCTACTCCCAGCTATTCCACTTCCAATTGTTGTTACATACTACGTATAATCAACGATATACGTAGAATACACCACAGAAAGATTCGAATAATTTTAATTAGTTAATTATTTATTTATTTTTAAATTCGATCCACATTGAAAGTTTTAACAGTTAAACTAATCAGTAATTCTTAAATTTCAATATCTTTAGAGCAAAACACTAAAAGGGATAGGACATAAAGTGTATAGAAATGAATTATAAAAATATTTGTTTCAATGTAAAATATAATGAAATAAAATAATAGAAAAAAAATACAAACTTGACCAAGAAGATTGCACGCTTTATTGATTGTCATACGAGCTTCAAAATTGTCAACACAACTTAATACAAGATCAACAGGATTATCATCTTTTAAACCACCATGTTCTAAACGATTAAGAAAATGATCAAAATTCTCTACTAAAGTTATATTATAGTTATGTGCTTCAATTTGTACATCTGGATTGATAAAACTTAGAGTAGATGCTGCAGCTGCAACTTTACTCAAACCAGATTGATGAGGCTATAAAGAGACGAATAAACAATAAGAAGTGAAAATATTTACGATATAGAGTATACGTAAATGAATTTAATGCAAGTCAAAATCTGTACAAAACAACTGACTTGACAATATGTTTTCTGTCTAGTCAAAGATAATTTCATGAATATTTTTACATGGTATTCGACTGATGACGATTTATTGAAAAGAAAAACTTAATTTACAATCAAAAGTGTGCTTTAAGCTGAGTTCGACTATGAAGTGTTACTACAAACTGTCTTCTACTCTTAATGGCCATGTTTCGCTGCCGTAAATTAAAACAGAACAGACTGCCGCGCAGTATACTCGTCCTTTTATTGATATACGGATATCTCGCCTTCTCCATAGGTGAAGTAAGTGGGCAAAAGCCAAACGAGCTTTCTGAATCCATGCAGAGATATTTCAGACACTAACCCATTAGGGCTGATCAGACTTCCAAGTTAAGTGAAGTTGTCAACGCTTTCGACTTCTTCACTCTCTATCTTTAGTTCAGGTGTTGACGCAGACCAGTCCTGAAGCAACGACTTGCATTTAGAGGGAGAGAAACGCATCCTAAACATTCTGGCATTGTTGCTAGGTGCTACCAGAAGACTGCATTTTATCAGCGTCTTCACCAAACAGGACTATATCATCTGCGCATTCTAAGTCAATAAGTCGACCTGCTGGAAGGGGATCAATGCCCGAAAATTCATTAGATCAGAGCGTTATTTCCATCAGTAGGTCTATGATCAAGTTAAACAAAAATGGAGAAAGTGAATAGCCTTGACGGATACCACTTGAGGTTGCAAAATCAGATGACAGTTCGCCATAAGCTCTGACTCGACTAGTAGTGTTCGAGTAAAGAGCCTTCACAAGGTTTATGTACTTCTGAGGTACGCCTTTCAATGACAGACACTGCCACAGAATCTCGCGGTCTATGGAGTCAAACGCTGCTTTTAAGTCAGCCTAACCAAACAAGATATTTCTTACTCGAGTATCTAAAGACTCCTCTCCATCAATGTTAACGGATATTTGTTTGCACATGTGAGGAGTCGAAGTATTCCTGGCAACACGCATGTCCATCATGATGAGTAGAATCGAAAATGTCCCAAGTGTTTGATAATAATTTTCAACGACAACTTCTGTTTCGCTAAATCAACTGGTCTTTTGACTGACTTAAGGAACAAAATAATTCAATAAAATTGGTTACCCTGCGTACACTAATATGGTAAGAGAAGTGAACAGGTCACAATGAAGAATAAATACGTAATTTACAAGCTCCCTGAGGTTGGATAATATACAATAATTATTCAGCAATAACAGCACAAGAAAATCTTAGTTGAGTTGAAGAGACTAAGCACATATTGTAATAATTTAATTAGATAAACTTCATATTAACACAGAAAAGAGAAACTGAAAAGGAAGTTAGTGGCGATAAGAATCACCATACTAATCATAGTAGAAGAATAAACAACAATAAGAGATTGTTCATATAAAGATGTGTTCACATAACACGATAGTTGAAAACTTCTTCCCAAAGCTTTGAAATATATAATAAACCTATTAGTGTTAATAAAATTAAAAAACCAGGACAATAATAATACTAAATTTTATTAACCTGAAAAAATAATCGATTCATATTGGCCAACTCCACTTTATCATAATCAAATAAAATCAGACGACCGATTCCACATCGAACAAGCATTTCAGCAGTCACTGAGCCAACACCCCCAATACCCACTATAACAACAGTCTTTTCTCGAATTCTGAATAATTAGAAATTAGAATTGAATAAAAGCGAATTAGATTATTGCAAAACACCACTTAAACAAATATGTACTTATGGAACGAAGAAGCGATCCATAAAATTTTATTCACGAACTCCTGGATATTTTTGCATCTGATAACAGTGAAAAATATTAGGTTGTCTAATGTCAATCATTCGTATATATCAGTGAACACGATAAAATAAGATGAATTGTTTCCGAGTTTCTTATGACGTCTAAACAGCCCAAAATCACATGGGAAAATATAATTATGAACAAGGTTTTAACACAATTTGGTTGGTGAAGTTGAGATGGATGTTTAAAACGGAACTGAGAATCGTTATAAAAAGAACACGATACAAACTGACTAAATATGGTTAAGATTGATGCGTGTTTGTATGTTGAAGAATAATAATGAAGAGTAAGGGATGTGATATTATGGTTACTAATACTCATAATGAAAAGAAAAAAGGATTACGCAATGTCTATAGTTATAGTATTTCCTGTAATCTTAAACTATTTGCAGCTGGAGAGAACCTATAAAATAGAATGCATTAATCTTGTTTTGCAAACCTTATTGTTCTTGCTCTGTTCAAACTTATCAAGCGATCAGGCTGTATCAAATAAACATTTTATATTATTTTCCAAAATAACTTTTTTCAATTTTACGTTTGACTTAGAAACAATCATCCGTTAAAAGAAAACAGTAACACGTGAGAAACAATAGATGATTGATTTACTCAATAAATAGGTCTATCCATTGAGTAACAACTACAAGTTTTTAACAATAAAATAAAGATATTCCTTAAATGGACTGCAATTTGAAAAACTGTAATAAATAACCAGGTGAATTTTGATTTTGTTCTGGTTTAAGAATAACACAAATTATGTGCAGACATTCGATAGTCTGAGAAATAGTAAAAAAAATAGTTAAAGTTAAACTAATTACTTATGACAGATTTTTAAACTTAAATTACCATCAGCTGTACAGAGCAATATGTTCTAATTGATCAAATAAACCAGTTAACAAATTTTGCTTTGGTAGTATAAAGAGATTTATGGAGGTAGTAGAAATTTGATAGTTTAAATCACGAACTTATCTTGGCTAGGCTACCATTGAAAGCCTGGAAGCACTGAACGGTCATTTCGTTCTAGTATGGGACTCGTTCGAAGTACGATCTTACGACACCGCATCTAAAAATAGAACCCACGGCCTTCAGTTGATTGACGTTAGGCATTAACAGCGTTGGATACTGGCTATGGTCTAGAAGTCGAGGGTTCAAGAGCGGAACCGAAGGTCTTGAGTTTGATTTTCGCATGCGGGGTCGTGGATGTGCGTTGCTAAGGAGCTCAACATTAGAGCGAAACAATTGTTCCTGGTTTCAATGGTGGTCTAGCTAAGATCATTTAGTGATTTAAACCATAGAATTTTTGTTTAGCCTTGTATGTTGAAATAATAGCGAGAAATTTTCAGCACAGCGAATAAATGGTGAAAACGCACAATAGAGGAAAGTTAAGATTGCTTTATTGAAGTTATCACCAGAAAAAAAAAGTATAAATCCTGTATCCTTATAGCCTAATTTCTATTTCATTAGTGATGATTAACTATGACATACAGATGAAATTTCTATTGTTCAGTAGAAATGAATGGTATAAAGACCTAGAACACAAGACGGGAACCTAAGAATTTTTTGTAGAGATTGCTTTAAAAGCTATGGTACAGACAAATTAAGTTACAATTTTTCATGTCAGATATACGCTGTTTTGAAAAGAAGATTACTTGAACTGGTGAATTTTTCTAATCAATTAATTATACTATTCTAGCATTTACAAATAAATTTGTAACATTGTTTTAATTTACTAAAACGTATTATCATTTGAAAATGAAGAGAAAATTATTTCTAATATGTTTTAAATACCGTAGACTAATGATTGAAACTGATGAAAGGATAGAGATATTTCACTGTGATTGATTTCTCTATACAAATACTAATGTCAATATTTATCAGAAACATGTCAAAAATTCATAAGATACTAAATAAGTATTTGACTATGAAATGAACCACTCTAATTATATTGGATATTTTTGTACCGATTCAAATGATGAATTGACTGTTATAAACAAGTAAATTTTGTGTACATATAACTGATTACCTATTTAACTGTTTGGATACGATATTACTGTTAATAGAGCGTTTGTTATCGTGGTATCAATGTTTCTACGATTACTATTGAGACCCAAGTGTGACTAATAATCTGTATCTGTTATTGCAAACAGCAGCACCCATCTGTTTATTAAATGGAAAAGAATTTATTTTTAAAGGATTTCTACCTTCCCACTAAAATATTTAAATAATTCTGGTGGAGTTGACTTTACTAATCTGAGTAACTTAATCATGGAAATTTCACTCTTCTTTTAAACATCACAACAAACTACTAACAGAAGTCTAGGTACGCATATTAACGAAATTTTGTGTTAAAGTAAAGGATTACTCTTCGTAATAATAATAAAGTCTTTCAACACTGAAAAAAAAATTCTTCACAAAATTATACAGACTGCGTACAGAGCATAATTTGTAACAACTCCCATACGTTGAAGTGCCATAAGACGACTATATGGATTAGAGTCGACAACTTCATTACTCATTTGATCAATTTTAGGACGAATAGTATGAGATTGAGATAAGTCATTTTTCATTTGGACAATTTGTGCTTTAAGTACATCAATTTCTGCTCGTAAATTTCTATTGGTTTGACGGAGTGAACTTTTATTATTTGATGGCATTAGGGACTGATAACTAGAAAACAAATGAACAAATAATTAAATATAATAAAACAAAAGTTTTAATTAACGGAAATTAATGAACAGACAGTCTACTTGATGAATTTATGTCAACTAGACAAACGTTAAATACCAAGAATAACATGATTTTCACTTCAACTTCATGTGCAACTCCTTGGTACTACGCTCTCATAAGTCTACACTAGATCAATCAGTTAGGAAAACTAATTACGAATTATTCATCAACTAAATTGAATATCAATAAAGTAATGAATTTAAAGTGTAGTGAAGAGAAAATGATCTAATATATTTTTTGATGATTCATACTGAAAGTAACATTTATTTTAACAGTCAACTGTATAGAACTATTGAATTTTTGAACTGATAAGAGGTAAATGTAAAACTACCAAAAGACTGGATTGTAACAGTCGGAAAGCTGTTGTTATGTTGATAAAACCATTTAAGCATAATGTTTCCTAAACTTTACACATTTATTCCAAGCTACACATATGATGCTTCCTTAAAATGAGCAACTATCAGTTAGATATATAAATTTTTAATGAAGTTTAAAAGTAAAACTCTGATATTCGCATGGAGTCCACCATTCAGTGCAATAATTAAAAACTGCTAATGTAAATCACTTATCAAGTTAATGTTTATGTATTCGACTTTGAGGTAAACTCTTAGTATAATCTAGATATATTAACACATTTCTCAAACTAAAGTATGTTGAGGAGGACTCGAAATTGTAACCCAAAAATTGAAAAGGATTTAACAATTAAGCTACTACTTTATCTCAATGATATTCCTCTAATTAGACTTTTATCAAAGGTTGTTCTACTCTAAGTGAACCAGCATTAAACAACTCCCAATAATAAATGCTTTCTAGAAGTAATCTATCAGTGATATATATATGCATATACCAGTAATAATTAAGGATAAAGATTTTATTTATAACTAGCTAATCCAAAGTTAATAGTATCTGCAATTAAATGTGTTCTACCACAATCATTTGACAAATGTATATTCGTAAGTCCATTGAATAAAATGAATCACTTTGTACAATGAACACACCTGAATGATTTATAGTCATAATTAACAGTATTTTTTGCATTAATAACCGAATAGTATATATTATCTCCTTAAATCAATATATTTCGTTAAATCATATGAATAAGTTATACAACATTGAAACTGCTACAGGATTCTGTGTTTTATAACTTGAGAAACTAACCAAGTATATTGTATAAGACAGTTTAAATTATGAACAATACGCGTCTATATTTTATCTTTATTAAAATATAATTTAAATTTGAGAATTCGATTATTTAGCTAGATAATCAACAAGCACACTATAAATGACAACGAATATAAAATATATTCATTATCAATCATGAATAAGCAATTTCTCGTGGCATATAGGATAAATCATCATTTTGACGACGATTTTGAAGACAAATTAATCAGTATCAATTTTATAATCTTTAAAAACTATGAAGTACCAAGAGTTCAGTTTGTTATACCTTACGATTTCTACACAAGTTGTTGGCTTAAAACAACTATGTAAGACTAAAATTATCCACAACATTTAGTCCCTATTTATCTTCTAATTCGTTTTTACGCATGCCGAATTGGCTTGTTGACATTTTAATATTAGTCAACTTGTGAAATACAGAAATAAAAAGAATGAGATTAGACTTCACTAATATGTGTATTACTTCTATAACACAATTTGTATAACTTCTTACTTAGAAAATAACTTGTTTAGATCAATATCAATCACTGATGAGTAATATTTGCAAATGTAGTTTGATCAGTTTAATAGATACAGTAATACAGGCATACACAAGCACACTAGATAACAAAATCACACTATTTTTCAAAAGTTTTTATATTGAAATTGGAATTTTCAACAGTTTCCATTAACCACTCAGAATTATTCTGTATACAATACGAAGTAAATAAAAATGTGTACAAGCAAAATAAAACACTAAGCGAATGGGTAATGTCCTTTCAAATCTGATTTCAATAAGTAAATAAATAAATGAAGCAATAAACAACACATTAAAATATAATGAAATGTAGATTGAATAGTCTGTATGGAATCTCTTTTATTGTTCACCTTCGCCATGGAACAGCTTTACTCCCTCTAATGAGCACAAACGCGCACTACAAAATAATAGCTAAAACTGGAGATCGGATCTAAGACAAGTAAATAATAATGGTGAAAGACACTTGGTGACTTTTTTTTCTTTTCTGTAATATACACAATATAAGACAAATACTTCTTGGGTACAATTCGTAGTTAATCAGCAATTCCTCGAGCTAATACAGCAAAAGCATCACGTTGTAAACGACGTCGCTCAACTCTAGGTAGTGGAAGTTTATCTAACATAATAAATAATTTCCGAAATCTATTATTTTTCATCATATTTGGAACAATCATTTGTGGTGAATTACGCATTCTACTAGATTTGGAGCATATATTAAATGAATTATCTGAATCAAAATTAGATGTTTCAGTGTTTAGAAAACGATTGGAATGAAATATATAAAATATATGATGTAGAATAGCACACGAGCATAAACGGCTTAATTGTGCAATTGAATTCTGTAAAGTTAATATAAAATAATCATACAAAAAATGAGGAATCTATTATACTGATAAGAATAAAAACTATCAATTTTATTAACAACGTGTACAGAAAGGAGAAAACCAGAATTTAAAACTTATTATTTAAAGTCTGCTTGAAATAATCTACTTTAAAATCATTTGAAATGACGCAAATGAACCCATTCTTTGTCATCCCCCAAGTTCTGAGATCCTAAATTCCTCAGAATATTTCTTCTGTTCCACTAGTTTATATTTTCTTGAATTGTATATTTGATGCCTAATCTTTTTTATTACCACTGATACATTTACTACCTCCACTATACTGGAATTCGGCCTGACAATTTCATCTCTCTGTGCTAATGGAGTATGGCGATTTGAGCCGATGTACATACGTACCGAGTTCTACGTCGCGACTAACAGATTGTACGTGTGAGAAACTCTTAAATGGGATCCATCAACATTACTCCACATCGTTTCGTTAAAATATAACTGTATAAGATATGATTATTAAGAAGACCTAGTTCGACATTGAATATTCAGCGGTACGTTTCGCAACTTGAAATATGGGCATTCACATCAAGCAATAGACCAAACATGAATTTTAAAACCTGAAAACATAAGAATTCAGTTCATGACTCCCATATAAAATAGAGTTTACATTAAATGAAGATTAGAGGACCTAGTTTCCCATATAATACTGTTAATTTAACTTATGACATACCATCCCTTCCAACAGTATATGACGAAGATATGGTAAGTAACTCGGAAGCATCAAACATTACGACGCCACTCTCTCTATGTAGAATCTGAAGACTTTTCTTAATACTAAAAATCCTTCCTATGGAAAAATATAAAGTGAAAGTGTAACGACTTATAGCCTGTGACACAATCGTAGTCTGAAATAGAGGTGAGTTTACGAAGAATGAAGTTACCAATAGTGATTAATTTTAGAATTGGTTTCTTGCAAGTACTTCGTAGACTGGAAAATAGACAACTAATACAGGAAATATAACTGTTACACCTGATATTTATTGTCTGATACACTTATTTACGGGCTTAGTAACCTACAATTATTGATGACTAAAAATAACAGAAAATTTTAAACTCACCTTTCTTAACTTCTATACCTGGGATCAAATTTCTGAAATAATTTATACTATAATACTGAAGTAAAATGTACAAAGTCTATTTTTAAAAAATCACAGATTGTATAGCTATGTTTCACCTTTTTATTCTACTAATTAAGCGAATTTAAAAGTTAGTTCCCATACAGCAAAAAACTTACCTGTTGTAACGACCGCAATTGAATTGCTTTAGTTTGGCCATAAACATCAAAAACAGCCCGCATACGCGGTGTGGAAGAAGGGATACTATCGGAAGAATGAAGATCAGAAGTTGGCAATGATTCAGGAGTTTCACTAGTACTGTTAGTCACACTATAATTGATACTGCTTGCATCTCCATTGACAGGTGAAAATGAGGAGTCCACACTGATTAGATTCTTTTCAAAATCAGATGGTGAAATAGCCACTGTTTCCTGTAGCGAAAAATTACACAGAGGTTATGATCTCCTGCTAGACTTCACGATTGAGCAGATAAATTAGTTTCTACAACGAGCATTAAGAATCTAGTTATACTGGACTTTTGACAGCCTTAATGTACGTACACTTTATTAACCTATTTACTATCAAATTAGCGATTCGTAGTAGTCTTTTCTAAATTTAATCTTCCTAATATAAGCAAAATCGGTATTTAATTAATGATAATTCTATCGTTTGAACAATGGTCTTGCCGTTTGATTTCCACGTAGTTGGAATTTGAGGCTCGATGATTGGACACCTCAAGTGAAATGGCTCAAAATTGGTAACAGTCATGCGGATATACTCATTTTTCATCTTTTTTTTGAAATATATCTCATATTTATTATTTCCGCCTCCATGCTTTTCAGTTTTCTAGTTTTTCTTCTTGTTGTGGCGATATTATGCAGCAGTACACGTAAGCAAATCTAACGAAAACTTTTAATATATTTGATCATATTGGATGCAAATGGTCAAATGAGTGGAGCAGTCAATAAAATCAATACTTCCCTACCAACTCGCAAACTAGTTATTGAGAAAAACAATCAGTGAACTTATTCTCCAAACACTTGGATATGAATGGCACTGATACTACCGAGTTGGTCCAACAGAAGGTGAAGCAGGATTCGAACCTCAGACGTTTTGGCTAAAATGTCAAATGCCACTGCTATAACGTTAAGAAGACCATTTCCGAAATATTTTATTAAGATCGACAGGTAAGAAACGCAGATTATGAAGTGTAGTTACCACAAAACATTTTTCGAGGGATTAAGTTAAAGGTCCAAATACGTTTTAATGAAGTATGACTTACTGCTATTGCAATCATGTCGATGCCATTAATAACAATATGAAACCGAAAAAGAAAAAGCAGTTTTTCCGTATCTGAATCCTCTTCGCTTTCGGTAGAGTTTAAAGTATACCTCAAAAGGTTCTGTACATTCTCATCTGGTATTATAGACGGAATATTGCTAATATCATTAAGTATGTTCATAGTTCCATCTATCGGAAGACTTGTACATTGTTCATATGAATCATCTGTAGGTAGTGGCTCCAGTTCATAGTAGATGGCTATAACACTACCTTTTTCGACATCAGGAGGTCGCGCAAGTTCTAGCTCATTTGGTACTAGTTGGCTCAGTGGTACTCGACCACGCTTTGTATGGAGACAACAGACACAAAAGAAGGGAGGAGTAACTTGTAGATGTGTAGGTTGTTTATCCATATGAGAATTAGTTACCAGAACGTTTGGACTATTGACAGAACCACTGATTGAGTTCATACTGGGCACATCTACTTGTCTTTCGCAAAACATATTGACAGAATCAAACGACGTGGGTGGATTGTTATTGGTTTTACTCAAATGACGACCAGATTTTAATTGCTGTCGTTTCCAGTAAGTTTGATGATGATGCGACAAAAGAAGGGCCACAGCAGTTCCAACCGGTACAATCCAACTTCTACCTGGAGAAACCAAAGCAGGTAGGGCAAACCTGAAAATAAAATAATGCGTAGTAAACTGTCATCATTGGAAAATATTCCTGACAGATAAATATTCTGATACGTAAATTGTGAAGTTATGCAGTTAATATCATAAAGTAGAGATCACAATTGATTTCCCAAAAGATAAGTGAAAAAATAAAGGATGGATTTCGATACCCAGCTAGAGATATATAAGTTTATACCGTTGCGAATACTACTATTGAATCATGTGCAAACTAAAGATAACACTAAATGATGAGAACTAAGAAACTTACACCAGAACAGTTAGTGAATTCACATTTACGACTCGAGTTAGGGCTTGTACTCGGTTAGTATTACCTAATAATTTTATGTAAACGAAAACCTGACAAGAAATCATTAAAAGCGTACTAGATGTCTCATTTGTTTATCCAAACATATTTTGGATAAAAAACTAGTAAGGGCATCCCAGACTACAAAATAACACTGAAGAAATTCTTCTCACTTTGTTGTTGTTGTCTTTGGGCCGGACAATTTAGCTGTGAAGTCCCCTTTGTTCATATGGATAACATTATCAACACGCACTTTTGAGGCAAAGCTAGAAACTGATAAGTACTACTACATCTCATGGAACCAATGGGGCTTCGTGTATTATAAAAAAGGGTTCAACTATACAACTAGTGAAGCAACATTCCTTTCTGCATTGAATACTTTTAAGATTACCATCTAAAAAAGAATTGGGATGGAACGAAATTAATCAAACAAAGTGAGTATATAAATATTGACGATAGAGATTCAGGATTCGAAATAGCTTTTGATATAGTTTACCAGTCTGAATCCTTAACTGAACCTCCCATTTTTACATTTCTCTTCATGGATACCATCCCATACTTTAAGACGCTAATTTCACTTAGGGAAATAGTTCTGCAACTTATATGCATTTCTCCCTTTTCACAGGTAAATGTAGCTATTCGCTTTAACTTATAGATGAAGTGAACTTAGTGGAAATCAGATGTTTCTAGTTATGAATGGTCAAATAAATCGTTACAAGTATGGTTACGAAACGGAGTCAACATGCTTAGTTTTTGGAAAAAGTACCTTGAAAAGTCTACTTCTACTTCTCACACTCGTCTAATTTGTTCAAAGCCATGTCAAAACAAGTAAAGGTAATCACGTATATTATTCTTAAGTTATTTTCACTAGAAACGTTATTGATAATACTATAGTGATTGCATTCTTGGGTTGAAGACAGAAAAATAGTTGTATGCTACGAAATCTACCGATTATAAGATTTCAATGTGTAGTAGAAAGACGAGTAATTATCGAACAAGGGTATCACGCCATGATTTACCATACTGGTTTATCCGATATTAATCACTCTCAGCCAGTACTTCCTCAATCCCTAAGCCACAAACTATAAAGTGTTACACCGATTCTCTTTTATATCAAACTAATCATTACTGATACCTTTGACTCACAAAATATTACCAGCCAATATCAAATAAATTATTCTTTGGGACTCATACATAATAAAAATCTGTAAATCACCATTGATTTCTGATATTTACATGGAATTACAGATAAAGCAAGGCAAGTAAATGGGATTTTGTTCATTTGATTATTGCTTTTATTGTTTTTATAGAAACATGATGTACACCGGAATCTTAGTCACACAGACTTTTCTACGAAAATAAAACCCATTTACATACTACGAAAAACAACTAGTGGCGATATAGCACCGTAAGGCTGTTGAAAACTATGTTAATAATTTTACACACGACAAACATGATTAAGTTACTCAATAGACTATGTCACTTTACCTGGGAAGAGGCAAGAGCAAGTTATCCGGTAGTAAAGTGAATCCGACTCTCAAATCCCCAGTCCAACCTCGCTGTGTTTCTGTAATTTCGACAGCTACCACTTCGCCTGGTCGGATGAAGCTTTGAGAAATAACTACCCCATCACAAAAACCTATTTGACGACGAGCTTTCGTTCTATCGGGGGAAATTTCAACATATTGACCTCTGTGGTCGAAATTGAACACAGTAGAGATGTCTACATAGGTCGACATCACTGAAACAAAAAATGTTGATAACACTAGCTAACTAACCATTGTTTAAAGAATAACTAAATGTTTTCATCACAAACCCGAGATAAAACTAGGGACATGCGCGTCTGATAAATGTAGTTTAGTTTCATTCAGGAGAGGAGAAATAGTATAAATGACATTGAGTGTTTAGAAATCAGTTATAAGACTGTAGTCTCGGACTAAGTTTCATGAAACTCACACTCTTACCTTTTAGTCTTTTTAATCATAATTTTCAGCTTGCTTGTCCTCTAACCAGTATAATCTCGGGACAGGCCATGGTTGCTTCAGTGCAAAATATACCCCGATAGATATAATAAAGGTTTGCAACACCATATAGCTATTCAAAATCTTCAGTGCAACAACCAGTACTATCAGCGATCCTGGATGGCTGCGTTAAAATACTTAGATAGTCCTAAAAAACCAGATGGTTATTTGCATCAAGTTAGCTATGATTTTATTTCCTCTTATATGTAAATGACCTTCCCCGTCTATCACCATCGGTCTTGCTATATGCTGACGATGTCAAGATATGTAGAACGATAAGGGTGATAGCTTAGAACTTTAAAATGACCTGGAGAAATTACTTAAATGGTCTCAAACCCGACAGTTACTGATAAATACTCCCAAGTGTATTGTGATGCATATCGGTCATAAAGGTATAGATACATACATGATGAGTAACATCGAGTTACCTGTTGTCCAAACACAAAATGGCTTAGGGAACATAGTTAGCCAAGACTTAAAGACTACTGCACACTGCCGTGCGATAGCCGCCAAAGATTTAAAAACCCTATGGTCAATGCGTAGGGCCTTTAGTCATGTCGACGCTAAAACATTTTTAGTTTCGTGTTCGTGCATCTCAAACTTGAGTACTGCATACAAGCGGCTAGCCCCTGCTTAAGAAAAGACAGTGAGATTTTGGAAAAGATTCAGAGGACAACAACCAAGCTAATTCCCGGAATAGCGAAGCTCCAGCATGATGCTCGACTGACTAAACTAAACCTATTCCCGTCGTCGTATAGGAGAACTATAGGTGACTTGATTACCGTTTTCAAATTGCTTAGTGGTAAATCTGCACCTGATATGCCCACATTTTTCTTGTCTTCCAAAACAGAGAATTTACGAGGACACTCGAAAAAAGTTCACAAGCCCAGAACAAATTACTTGTCAGCTGGCTATCGACTTTCTTATCAACTCTTTCAACAGAAAGTTGGATCAACTGAAAGGCCATGACTGCTAAGACTAACACATGCCATCAAGCCTCCTGTCCTTTCCAAACTGAAATTAGAACTTTGTCTAAAAAGTTGAAAGTAAAGTGCGAAAATTTCGTTGAGACTGTTGAGCCCTTTGGAAAAAGACAAGATATCATATAAGATTAAATATTTGGTGATCAGTGACTCCTCGTCTTTAACGATATTTACACTTAATGATGACTCATCTTGATATACTAGGTTAATGGTGAATTCCTGGTATTCACATTATTAAAAGCAAGAATAATTAACACTCGTTAATGGAAGTTTACAGAAGATAAAGGCCGCAACCATATGAGAAATCATCCACAAAATATCTCACCTAGAGAACCGATAACCTCACACACACTACATTGGAGCGCATAATTAGATCCAAGCGCGTGAAGATTAGCAATGTAACTGATTTTAATCTCTGATAGTTAAAAAAGTCGATCATAAGAATCCTGGAAATTTTTTTGACTATCCGGTTTTTCATGGACACGGTCTTAAATTTAAGGGCACAACAGGGATTTTGACACCATATGTACAATTACATTACACTAAGGCGGTAATTTGCCACCAAGAACGAAGCTTCCACTATGGGAGAATACGCTGTTAATTGAGATGCACAGAATGTTAAACAAAACCGTACAGTTGAAAAGCTTTTATAAGATGCCATACAAGTTTTCCGCTACTTTAATGATACACGCTTTTCGAGCAGGAAGTTTAGTCCTAACGTGATTTGCATTTCTCAAACATTTGCTGTATTATTAAGCAAGAAAAGTGCCATTTCTAATCTAAATGATCTACTTTGAACTACACGTTCTATAAATTCTTTCTTTCAAATTTCACTCAATTTAATAGTTAACTGGTTTTGCCTCAGCTTACTATTCGGTTTTTCCTTCAGTTTTTCACGTAAAAGCAAGTTTTAATTTATCCTAACCCATTTTTAGTGTTGTAGCGGTAAATAAATCCCCAAAATAAATAGCCCTAAAAGTTTTCGACATTGGATGCTGACCGTATGTTTTCTAATGACTTTTATCACGAGAACACGATTAATTTAGTGAAAACAATTATTATTATAACCAGTTGTACCTGTGCTTGTTTTAATGTGCTCTTTGTTTAACTGTGCTAAAAACATCCATTATACTTACTTCGACTGTGACCTCGCGCGAAACCGGCTACGCTCAGTAATCAAGTATATATCCTGGCACGATCTCGGTATTTCGATACCACGAGATCGCCAGCAAATATATCTCGACTTGGTCCATTAGCTGCCTCCTGATATTTGGCTTCCAGGGGGTCTTATAGATATCCTGGTACGCGTTCCTTTGTAGTGGTGTTCATAGTCAACTGGGACTCGACACCAAGCTACAGTTTTAATGGACTCACCTAGCTGAAGGCGCTCGGTCACTCATTCGCACCAGATCACGAGTGGGCACGCCGTGCTCATTATCTATTGCAATCGCTAGCCAGATTAGAGCAGACGGTTCTTGATATATTGATATCACATCAAATATATCTTCCAATCTCCTCAATTCTGTCTTTTGATTTCTCTTGGTGGGTACGAGTTATATCAGGTGTTATCAGTTAAAGCGTTGTCAAACACTGAATACCTGTGCCATCTTCATTGGGGAGCCTAACGTGATATAGTACACCAAATCTTAAACTGTGAGTCTGTTCCTTTTCGGGATTCTATATATCATTGCTTCATCTTAATTTTTATACATTGTGATATTTTTTCGTGCTTTTGGGATATATATATTTTCCCCTTGTTCATTATCGTACTTCATATTTCATCATGACTGAACAGACACCCAAAGTACTTAAGCTTAAGACTTTGTCCCCACCTTCGTTTCAACTGATGCCCTTCTGGCCAGATAACATCGAAGCCTGGTTTCGTTACGCAGGAGCCGACTTCTCCGAGCACGGCACGATCGACACACGTGCACAATTCCTCGCAGTAGTCAAGGCACTACTGCGCCAATTCAACACGTACTTAACACCTAGTATGTTTTCTAGTGATGTTTCTGAACCTTACGAAACGCTGAAACGTTCTATTCTTAAACGCGGGGACCTAACCGATAAACCAACTCCTCAATAATATCGACCTGCAACACAGTTCTGCGACGGACATGGTGCAACGAATGAGAGAGGTTATCGGTCAACGAACTTTCGATGATGGCCTATTTAAACAACTTTTCTTGACGAAACTTCCTCAACAGGTGCAAGCTGTGTTTGTCTCGTTCCACTACCACGCCTTGGACGAGCTGGCTGCATCTGCCGACCGCATTTTAGAAATCACAAAATCTAATACCGAGGTTTTTTCAGTCAAAGAAAAGCTTCAAAGGACCCAGAATGACATAACTGAACTATGTCATACACTTACGCGTTATCTTAATTTTCGTAACGACCGTAAGCGACCACACACCCCACGTAGAAGCACCTCATGTGAGCGATCTGTCTATAGACCACGAGAGACGGATAATCCCGACTGGTACTGGTATCATAACCAGTATGAAAAGTCTTCCCGAATTTGCAGAAAACCCTGCAATTTTCCCAACTCAAAACCGACCGACTGGAAAAACAACTGGGGAAACTTTCAAGCCGGCACGCGTTAACGGCAACTGTAGCCGGCGAACATAGCCGTCTGTTATACGTCACAGATGTGACAGCGATAACTCGCTACCTCGTCGACACTGGCGCAGAAGTTAGCGTTCTCCCAGCGAATCCTAATGACTGGCTTCACGAATCAGCTTTAAACTTACGTGCAACGAACGGAAAACCTATCGCTACATATGGCAAAATGTACGTTTACCTTGACGTGGGTTTACGCAAATCCATTCACTGGATCTTCGTTGTTGCAGATGTTTCTCTACCAATCATTGGTATGGACCTTCACACATCACATCACGACTACAGGACCACCTATATTCTCTAAAGCGCGCCGACTAGCCCCCGAAAAGCTAAGGCTGGCGAAAAACGAGTTCGACCACACGATAGACTTAGGAATCATACGACCGTCAAGTAGCCCATACACATTGCACATGGTCCCTAAAAAGGACAGCGACGATTGGCGTCCAACTGGTGACTATTGGCGATTGAACGCGAAAACCATTCCCGATCGTTACCCGTTGCCTCACATTCATGATTTGACAGCTACCTTGAAAGGTACAACTGTCTTTTCGAAAGTCGATTTGGTTAAAGCGTTTAACCAAATCCCTATGGCTACAGACGATGTACCGAAAACAGCTATCATTACTCCCTTTGGACTCTACGAATTTTCGCGAATGCCTTTCGGTCTAAAACGCTGCCCAAACATTCCAAAGGTTCATAGATGACGTTGTCCGAGATTTGGACTTCGTACATGCGTATGTGAATGACTGCCTTATCACAAGTCCGGAAGAGAATCGCATCTCCAGCACCTGGATCTTGTTTTCGACCGACTACAAAAACATGGCATTACTGTAAACATTCGAAAATGTCAAATCGGAGCTGACTCAATAGACTTTCTAGGACACACTATCGATGCTCAAGGCATTCGACCTCTTAGAACCAAAGTGGCGGCCATTCTGGATTACCCGGAACCGACCACCATCAAGCAATTACGGACGTTTAACGATATGGTAAGTTTCTATAGACGTTTCATACCGAAATGCGCATCGCTTATGAAGCTTCTTACCGATCAGCTTCGTGGAAATGCAAAATCCATCAGTCTGGACGACACTGCACGAAAAGCATTCTCCACAATTAAGGAACCTATCGCTAGAGCAACAATGCTTGCTCATCAGGACACTGAAGCACCCATTAGCATCACAATAAACACATCCAACTCAGCAGTGGAGGAGTCTTACAACAATGGGTTAACAACTCCTGGCAACCTTTGGCATTTTTCATTAGACGGTTGTTAGACACCGAATCGAGGTACAGAACATTCGGTAGGGAACTCCTATCTATGTATTGTGCTGTACGGCATTTTCAACATTATATCGAAGGCCGTGAATTCACTCTTTTCACTGACCATAAACCACTCACCTTCTCTCTAAGCCTTACTTCAGACAAGTACTCTCTCCATGAGTCTCGACAACTGGACTACATTTCGCAGTTTACTTCAGACATTCAACACATCTCTGGAGCAAACAAAGTAGTTGCAGACTCTTTGTCTCGCATAACTTCCTTGAACAGTTTCCAAGGAATCGAACTTATTAAACTCACCCGGCTTCAAAAAGAAGACACTGATTTCAGCACGAGTTATCCTCAACAACCCTTAAACTGTGCGTCAAGCAGATGGGAACAGGTAAGGAAACCTTACTGTGTGACATATCTACAGGTAGGGATCGTCCAATCGTGCCGAAACATTATTGACGTAATGTCTTCAATACGTTGCACAAACTTTCTCATCTAGGTGTTTGTGCAACCATCAAGCTTATAGCAGAACGGTTTTGCTGACCTGGTATGAATAAAGACGTGAGGGAGTGGGCACGCTCCTGTGTAAGCTACCAAAAGTCTAAGGTGATTAGACACAACAAATTTCCCTTAGGTTCATTTAAAATTCCTGATGCTTGTTTCGACCATGTTCATCTGGATTTGGTAGGACCTTTACCAGATTCAACTGGATACTCTTATCTCTTAACCTGCGTAGACCGTTTCACTCGATGGCCAGAGGCAGTACCTATCAAGGACATCACTGCTGAAACAGTGGCCCGCGCCTTCGTCGAACGATGGGAGACAAACTTCGGCTGCCCTTCAACCATCACTACAGATCGTGGACGCCAGTTCGAATCTGGACTTTTCGTTGTCTGACCACACTATTAGGACTCACTCGCTTCCGAACAACCGCCTACCACCCACAAGCAAACGGGTTAGTAGAACGCTTTCACAGACAACTAAAATCTCCACTATCGGCTGCAAACATTTCTCAGTGGACTGATGCCCATCCACTCGTCTTAATAGGTATTGGCAATGCAGTGAAAGCTGACATTGGATACACTGCAGTCCAACTCGTTTATGGAACGACACTTTGAATTCCAGGATACTTCCTGAATCCTTCATCTTCTTCAGTGAACATGGATCTAACCTCCCACACGAGCAGGCTTACAAACGCAATGCGTTCAGTTAAACCTGTTTTCACTCGACCGCAATCAACTGATGTTTACGTTCAACCAGACTCACGATATAGTACACAAGTCTTCGTTCGTCGAGACTCATATCGATGACCTCTCGAATCAGCATACGAATGACCCTTCAAAGTTCTTCAGAGCGAACCTAGGTACTATATGGTCGATAAGAACGGAACCAACGATAGCATCAGCATCGATCGCCTCAAAGCAGCGTATCTAGAATGAAACCCTATCCATGTCAGTTTTCCCTCGGTACAACCGAAAGACATGGCTCTCACACATATACTAACTCAACCGACAGCCAACACACACGATGATACTTTGGCAGTATCAGAAAATAAACTTAAAACAACGCGTTCTGGATGAAGAGTGAAGTTTCCAGTACATTCAGACGTTTATTGCACACCAGTTTACATTTTGTTTCGTATCGATTTTTCCTTGTATCATATATAATATAAAAAGCCAATTCTAATATGCCTATTTTATATATTTATGGAAAAAAACAATTTTTTTGCCATGGGTGTATTAAAAATTTTTAAATTTCTGTAAAAACGGTTTATTTAGGCTTTCGCATGTGCATGAGTTTCACATTTTTTCGCCCGCTTAGTGTTTTTACGTGCGTACATGTGTATTTTCACATGCACTTACATATTCTTTTTTTCTTTTACAGGACGCTGGGAAAGACAATAAAAAGAACGACGAAATTTACGATGACCCGAAATTTTAATTCTACCGTGTTTCTTTATTACTATGTTGTACCACATTGTCCGTTATAGTAGGGAAAGACAACCAGACGCTGCTTAACCTAGCAAGCTATCAGAAGAGTGTTTACCAGCGACAAAATCCTTGAGTTTAAACTTCTTGTTGGCCACGTCTTTGGGTCATCACCGTCTCACTAAGGAGGGTGATCTATAGCGGTAAATAAATCACCAAAATAAATAGCTCTATAAGTCTTCGACATTGGATGCTGATCACGTTGGTTTCAATGGACTCACCTAGCTGATGGCGCTTGGTCATGCATCCGCACCAGATCACGGGTGGGAACGCCGTGCTCAACATCGCCTGCAATCACTAGCCAGTCTAGATCAGTCGATCATTGATATGTTGATAGCCTACCAAATATATCTTCGAACCTCCTCGCTTCTGTCTTTTGATTTCACTTGGTGGGCACGTTTCAAGTGTCGTCAAACTCCAAATACCTGTGGCATCCTCAGGAGTATTCTGACGATAATTATTATCACCCAAGATTTCTCCAACTCAAGTTAAAACCGTTTTGAATCAGACGTATTAGGTTTCAACTCGTCTTCATCTGTAGGTCTGTAGATGATGCACCTCACCCTTTGGAATTAATCGGTTCTTAATTTGTCATATTATTTCGCAGTCTGCTAACTAGAGAAAATATTCTATCTACCTCGAGAACCTAACCAATCGGATATCAAATGTTTTCGCTATTCTCATGGGCTTGTGAAACAAACTTCAAGAAAGTCTATGTCGCGGCAAAACTACGATCCGTATGAAGCGTCTCATGATGAAGTTTTTTAAGCATTTCAAGTCTCATATTATAGATCAGAGTAATTGCCACTGGTTTATAGAGAAAAGATCCTTCATTTTTATGACTGACTAAAAAGTGAAAATAAACTATGAGTGGTTCATTCATACATCTAGATTTCACTTACGTCTGCAATTTTTGTGATTATAATTTCTATGATTGGTTTTTTTGGTCAACACTGGTATTGAAGACTGAATATGTAGTATTAGGCGGAGATCACCAATTGTGCGTTACTTTTGGGTCGAGGATGGTTGCCGCGGGTGGACGTGCAGTTCAAATTATAAATGTTGAAGAATGTATGAAGAAAACATCATTCAGTCTAGATGAAGAGTCTTTGTCTTCAATTCTTTTAAGACCAGATGTGCGTGACAAAAAAGTTGTTGTGGTGTCTGTCGCTGGTGCGTTTCGTCAAGGAAAATCGTTTTTACTGGATTTTTTCTTACGCTATTTGTTATCCAATGACCGTACTAACTGGTTAGGAGACCCGGAAATACCTTTGAAGGGCTTCCCCTGGCGAGGTGGTTCAGAGAGAGACACTGTTGGAATATTGTTATGGAGCGAACCATTCTTTATGACTCTACCATCTGGAGAGGAAGTAGTCGTTCTGTTAATGGATACACAGGTTTGTTGATATTCTCCTTACTCTTTTACTTTTAAGGGTTCCTTTGATAGCACTAGTACTGTGCGTCAGTGTGCTACAGTTTTCGCTTTGAGTACAATGATCAGTAGTACTCAAGTTTATAACATTCATGGTAATATTCAAGAAGATCACCTTCAGCATTTGCATTTATTCACCGAATATGGTCGACTTGCCCTGGAATCTGATATTTCTGGAACACCTTTCCAGGTAAGCGGCTTGAAAAAGATTAATTCATGCAGTATTTACAGCGCAATGTAACACGCATTTCCTATGTAGTTGTAACTGAGTGTCTAGATGTTACCTGGCTTGTAATCAACCCTATATAGTTTCTGTAATAACTTCACTCATGCTCGGTGATTCTCATTCTTGTGAAATGGGTTTTATAAACAGGTAATCGGTAGTATCATGGTCATGTAGTGTAACAATGAGGTCAGACATTCTCGCAATCAACTTGCAAATAAAAGTGGTCATTTGATTGTTTTAAATGGCCAAGAGGAAAACTAATAAGGGGTAGTAATGATAAAGCATGAAAGTTTGTAAAACCACTGGTCATTATATCTAGATAATGTAACTCCCTGCTAATTAGGAATGTGTTTTTCCTGTCATCGCTTGCTTTCTTTCTCTGCGTTATACATTTTATGCTCATTACAGCAAGTTGATCATATTCTCATCTTTAATACTTTCTGTTTCGTTGCCAACCAGCGGTCACCAGTTCGGATTTTCTCTATCTTGGGAGGTCCTTTCCTTCTAATTACTTTGCCACACAACATTGCCTGCAGCCTAGTATTTATTTATTTATTTACATAGAAATTTGTACAAGGAGGCACCAAATATATATGCGCCACACAAATTCGTTGTATGAGTGCTGGGATACTGCCCGCGTGCCGAAACCAAAGCATGTGGTTTTCTTAGACTGCCACTCCCCGAGCTTTTGACCTAGAAGACTAATCCACAAGGCAATGGAGCAACGTGGGGAGATGCAGTCCCACGATAGCCGGTAACCAACAATAGGTTCACATACCATGTGTTTATTCCGGTTTCTGTAGCCCATGTGCACTATTGGTTTGGAATCAGGGTTTTCCAACTCCCTTAGGTGGATTCCCTATATCCACCAACCCGGTTAAGGCGTTGAATATTCGCTTTTCGTCCTCTCAATTTCGTAAAGGACATCACACCGCAACAAGGCAGTAAGTAGAACTTCCCTAATAGTAGCTGTATACGCATGGCCATATGAGAGCACTCCTAGAGGGAGAGCTGACCGTCCCCACCCTCGATCATACCAGGGCATTTCGGGGTATCTAGTTGACCGGTTACTTCCGTTGTAAATCACCACTCGTTCCTAGAGTATAAGAGGACTGAATTGATTCTACTTCATCGTTTTTAGACGGTGATCTTCTTACATGTATTATAAAGGTTTTGTTATCACATCATTCCGCTCTATTGTCTATGTCTTTGTACTTTTTTATACCTAGCATCTTTTATTCCTTGTTCGCGATTGGAGTTTCCCGTACGAGTATGACTTCGGGAATAGTGGTGGTACTCAACTGCTTGATAATCGCCTCAAGGTAATTCACAACATATATTATTGCTACAAAAATCTTGGAAATTTCGTTTTGTTATCATGATGTATGGAGTCTCATATTCACTTGGTCTTCCCGTTCAGTCTGATTTCATTGGGAAAGTATTACAAGGATACTTCAAGTATCACCGATAAACCAGATCTCACTCTGTTTATCAGATGTCAATGGGTTTTACTCAATAAGTAGGTTGCTTCTTCAAGTTGATGTTAGACAATTATGGTATGTTTGGATGTGCTGTTCGGCAGCAAGCCATATAATTCAAAGTTACCTACGTGTTCTTAGTTTCACCTTACATGCTTACTAATTGTGTTTGATTAATATAAGAGAAATGCTTCCGAAACTTAACAAATATTTATATACCGATTTAGTTAAAGCCCAAGTAACAAGGCTGAGTTAACCATATGAACATTTTAATAACATACACTGTTTATACAGTAACAATGTCACGGGGAATCAGTAAATTCATTCATTTCATCCTAGCTTGTGTTCTGAACTCTCACTACACAAATTGTATCTCTATAATAATCAGTTTTAACCGTATCCGCTCTGTTTCTAGCAACATGCTTTGAAGAGAACTCCTAAATCTTTGTAATACTTTAATTCATTCAGAATATATTCACATATTTGCTAGTGACATGATGAAAATCACAAATTAACGGAGGCTTAAGTGTTTACAACTAGTTAGTCGAAACTAAACTTGGTCCTATCGGTTATAAAAAGCGCTAACTATCAATCTGTTCAACACCATAACTTTCAACAAATTCTGTTTATGAATCCAAGATTACGTGTTGTTTTCTAAACTTAACAATACCAAATATTCTGCACTATTTATACCTTCGGACAGGTGATAGGATCAAAAGTGAATGTGAAACTTGTTATTTACGCCACATACTAGTCTGACAACCTGTTTATTGCATGATATTTGATCTCTTGTTTCATCCGGAACCTATTCACAAATGAATACATAATACTATCAGTACTTCTTAGTTATACATATCATAACTATTTTATTATCCCCTGATGTTTATCAGTAAATTGTAATTCGATTCTATAATCAGTGCTCATCACATTTAATCACTCCATAATAAAAACAACTATATTGTCCCGACAAGAGATTTTGGGTTCAGACTCGTCTGCTCATACCACATTAGGAAAAGCAAAGTCATACTTAATATATGGTTCTCATATGTGTGAACATTTCGTGGGCCGTATTTACCTCATGTTGTTTCAACGACTGAACATTCCAATTTTGTTGAAATGTAGAGCATATTGAATTGTTTAAAGTTTTGATGCTGATAATGGTCCAACATGAGCTTCTCAACCTCAACCAGTCGCGAAACGTTACTAAAATCAGTTCCTAGCCTAGTAAAATTTCCGATTGGTTAGGTTTATACCCGATACCCTAAAATAGGATTTTTTGTGTTTTGATATTCACTCATCAGGTATTGAAGAATATTTGTAATCTTTGTTATATTTAAACTAAAAATATTGTTTCGATTAGATTTATTTCGTTCTGATAGTTTAGACTGCAAATCGAAACTACACAAATCTTTTTTTCTACGAAAGTGATCGTTCATTCTGTTAGTGAGTTGAAACCTACGAGATACATAGAGTTATGGGTAGTTCATAAATCTCAACAAATGAGCTATTCGTGCAAGGTACAGGTCTTACTATATGTTTCCATAACTGACAACCTGTCAATGTGCAACTACCTGTTTTGTAATTTGTGTTTGCTTCATGACCACTTTGTTTTCTTCCAGATTGTTCAACAGCATCACACAGAGCACCAAGCTGTCCGCCGTCATATTCGCTCTTGTTTTTCCAAGTTAGATTGTTTCCTAATGCCTCATCCCGGTCTTAAAGTTTCAACAAATCCAAACTTTGATGGACGAGTAAAGGATATTGATCCTAGTTTCGTTGAAAACCTTATAGCATTAGTTCCTCATTTGTTAGCTCCAGTTAATCTGGTTGTTAAAAGGATAAATGGTCAGGAAGTTACGTGTCGTGAACTTTTTACTTATTTCAAAGCATATATAAAAATTTATGAAAGTGATACTCTCCCAGAACCACGTTCTATGTTGGAAGCAACTGCCGAGGCTAACAACCTTAATGCAATATTAACATGTCAAGAGATGTATTCAGAGGCTATGAACAAGGTAAAGAATGTTTTGTCCTAATCATCAGTGTGCTATAGTTGTGATTTTTCACTTAGGCTATTTTATACATGCCCGTAATTCAGGTCAGCTGTAAATTATTTTTGTAAGATATTTTTTGTGTTATATTATTCATTAAAACTGGATTTGAATTGTTCCATCATTAAATAGATCACCTAGTGACTTGAAAAGGGACTTGTTTGAGTCCTGGATTTATGCATAGTAGTGAGTAGTTTCCTCTACCTGTCAGGAGAAACAATGTTTTTGTCGTTCCGTGACGTATTCTTATGCAAACAGCTTAGTGGTATACTAGAGTGTAGTAGAGCAATTGCGTTAGATTATAGTAAAATGCCTAAATTTAAGTATTCTCTATTCTCAGAAAACAAATGTCCAATGATGTTATAGAACATCGAAAGACATATATTATCTACTTAAGGTTCCATTCAGTATACTACAATTTATTCCTTTTCCTATATCGTAGATTTGTGGACCCGATCGGCCGTACATCAATCCAACTGATTTAGATTTAGCTCATTTAAAAATATATAAGGCGGCTATTGAAAAATTTAACACAATTCCCAAAATGGGTGGTGAGGCATTCTCTGCAGGTTATTTGGAACGCTTAAAAGAAACATTAAAACAACTGGGAGAAGATTATCGGATGTCAAATTCTAAAAAGGATATATTCCAGGTAGGTTTGTGTATATCTGATTTTCAAAGTATTTTCAGTAGTCAGGTGACATAGATTTTAATAGGTTCAAAACCTTTTTTCGTTTGATTTTTTAAACTTTGTGGGTATAGAATAAATGCCTAAATAAAGTGGTGGGCTTGCTAGTCAGGCAACTTGGCTTTGGATCACTTAGTTCTAGGTTCAAATTTTGCCTCATTTACTTCTATGTATGCGACTGGTTAGTGTTCTAACCCCGTTCCAATCTCGAAGCTAAGCTCACAGGTCTTTCCTCGGCCACTGAGTCACATTCAGTGTTTAAATCCGGAATTCCATTTTATCTTTCAGAATAATTCTTTTAAATCTACTATTAGATAAAATATCAAAAAATCGTAAATCAGTAAAATCGTGATTAATTTGCATTCAGCTCACTCGTTAATTGCTAATCTGATTCATTAAATAATTCACATATTTTCTGTCTGGCCTGATGTTATAGTCTAGTTCACCATATTTATATAGATCACAGAATAGTACATTAGTCCAAAAAATTAGCCAATACATGGAAGTCAAAAATTAAGAAAGGAATTAAGTTATTAATCGACAATGAGTTTACTGGATTTTCTGATTGAAACTCATTGGTACATGGTGGAAGAGCGCTTATCCATTTTAACTGCTGTCTTGATTCTGTAGTCTGCCAGTCAAAAACATGACGTGGGACAAATATTTGCCAGCCCAAGTCTCCACACTAGATAAACGAAAATACATAATAATTGATTCGAAGTGACGGTAGTGTCTGTTGTTTTAATTGCGCTAAATTACCGTTTGTAAGTGACTGGCCTACAAAGTTTGGAGAATAACATGCTGCAATGCATGTTAATTAATTTAAGGCTGAAACGTTGCACACTGTAAATTCCTACCTTAGTCGCTACCTCGATGTTGTGGTGTAGATTGAGCATCGTGATAACCCCATCCAGTTATATTGGCTGGAACACTCGTTCCTTTAGGTTTTACCGTCTCAGACATAAGGTAGGATACCTGCTGTTAAGCTTATAGTTCGTAACTACTGTCTGTATGTCCACTGGCTTTACCTTCGCACAATTATCCACCTTTTTCTATCCCATTTTCAGACATTTCGTACCCCTGCTGTTTTGGCTGTTGTTCTACTAATTTTCCATATTGTTACAGGAATATCAGAATTTATTGGTTTATCAATGGTTTCGGGTATATTGGCCCTACCATTTTATATTGCTTTAATCTCATTGTTCACGTGGTTGTTTTTAAGTTACACTGGTCGAGCTCCAGAATTAGCTAGTGCCATCGATCAGTCAGCTGAGTTGGTAATAAAGAAGGTATGTTGTTCTAACACTTTTGAAATACCTCATTTCGTATTTTAGTATAGTATTATGGCTTGTGTAATTTTTTCACTCGCTATATTCGTATTATCTTGTTTGCTTTCTACATAACATAGATACTACACATTTGCGGGTGAGCATTAATATTTGACTTGATGATCAATAGTGAGCTGATGTGGGTTATTACTTTAAAAAGCCAATGACTAACTAGCATCATATGTTCTATAATGATAGATAAGCAAATTACTTCTGTGGGTTCAAATTGTCTATCACAATTGTTGGATTGCAGGGATTTTTTTGTGATTGACTGTTGATTAGTTTTTGCTAAAATAGTTGATTTATTGGCTACTGTGGTGTACTCAGAACAGTAAATAAGTTAAACGGTTAAGCATTATAGTCTTTTATTTACCAGTCGAATTGTCTGGTTACATAGTTTCTGAGTGTTATGATAATCTCTCTTATGTCAACCCAGCTACTTTTATTACTTAGTATTCTTTGGACACTACTTCACTCGACAAGTCTCTAAATCAGAACATGGTTGAACAAGAACATAATTATATTCCAAATAAACAAGGTTTAATGGAAGTAGGAAACGCAATAAGAAAAACTTTAATATATTTATAATCTTTACACAAGAATATTCCAGAGTCGTCCCCAAGTATTCGCTAACGCTGATTGGCTAAGAAATGGCCAGTCAGTGTGTCTCAACACAATCCTTCACGGGACATGTTTTGATCTAATCTATGTCCTGCCAGCTCCTCCCCTTTGAACAGATTCATAGGATCTGGTGTTAAGGTCCACCTGCAACCGCGTGACCGGTCTGTGTTTTCGATAAAGAAGTGGTGTCACTCTGCTTGCACGGAAACCGACCTGTCCATTTCAGCGGTTTCGATTTCAAAGGTGTCCATCAGAACATCACGAGGTGTCCTACGTTGGGTCTCGTTGCTGGCGATCGGAGTTGCTTTTAGTTGGTTAGCATGACTCACAAAAACTTCTGAGCTAACTGACACCTCGTAAACCACACTTCTTTTTTTTGAACGATTCGACCATTTTTCCATGTAAGATGTTTACCACAATAGTCCATAGCAAGTACGTTTTGACCCACAGTGAGCAAACGTCTTTGTACCCCATAATGTCTATTGAATTGCGTTGAGGCTCAAGAGCTTGTGTTGGGTGAATGACACCAAAATATGTTCGTATTTTTCCGCCAAGTAAAGCCTCTGCTGGAGAGACCCCGTTAATTGTCTGAGGATTTGTTGTAGAACAACAGGTTGACAGGATCCTCTGTCGAATCTCTTCAGTGGTCCACTCTCACTTTTATTTTTGTACATCGTTTTAAATGTACCAACAAAGCGTTCTACTTGGCCTTTGGATTGCGGATGGAATGGAGGTGTTCGGACATTATTGATTCCATTCTGCCTACAGCATTCTGGGAAGATAGCGGATGTAAATTGTGTTCCACTGTCGCTAACTATTAGTTATGGAGCCCCGGAGTGACTAAATAGTTGACGTGGTTTTCTGACTGTGCAGCTTACAGTTGGATGTTTCCTAAGAAAAATCTCTGGCCACTTGCTGTATGCATCAACTGCCAAAAGGTAAGTTTGTCCATGAAGTGGACCAGCTAAGTCCAAGTGTATACATTGCCACAGTGACTGTGGTTTTGCTAATGCACATTTGGTACATTACCGGGATAGATGCTCCAGTTGGGTGTCTAAATCCTGCTAGTATACGTAACTTCGTGCTAGTGCTTTCATGCGATTTATCCCAGGATGTCCTGCGTGCGATTGTCCACGCACTACCGGTTGCAGCCTCTTTGGGATTACGACACGTTCGTTAAACAGAAGGCAGTCATCGATGATTGAGGTAGTCTGGGTTAGTAAAACTGCTGAAGCTCTGTGTAACTCACCTTCGAGAGCCGCCCTTCTAGATGGAACTTTTTAACTTCTTGTAAGACTGGGTCTCGAAGAGTTTCTTCTCTGACTTCATCTGATGACACTGGAGTGTTTCGAATGCCATCTGCTACAACACACCTTATTTCTGGATCTATTGCTACTGAGTCAATGATCATGTCCTCCAGTCCAGGGTGTTGAACTTCAACCAATTGAGTGAGAGGATTCGCCTGACTTATAGTGTTTGCTGACTGATACTTGATGTTGAAGTCCTAGCTCAGAAACATTGTTGCCTAATGTTGTTTATTTATTTATTTATTATTTATTTGAACACATGAATATTGGTACAAGAGAGCGCCAATATATATGCGCCACACAAAACAATGAGAATTCGAAGAGAAGTAGAAAAAAAAACTAAGGAGCGCAAAAGAAAAAGCGAACAATGACGAAGAGATTGGAGTAAGGTAGTGTGGTAGTAACGACGGAACGAAAAGGTACAATCAGAAGAAATCTTTCAGGTAAAGGAGACACAACCACTTTTTATGAAGAAAGTAAAAGAAGGCTACAGCAGGATCGCCACTGGCTTCTATTCTGAGCCATATCTGATAACGTCTCTAGCCACTGTGTAGCACCATCTCTCAGACCCCAACCAGGGAGTCGTGAAGGACCAACAGAAGCCAGTCCTTTGCAGCTTTCTTTCATACCACGACACCATGTCATGCACTGACCACCTCTCCGCTTCTTCCAACCAGTCCCAGAGTCGGCAAATAATGCACGACGTGGAATTCTCTGGGACAACATTCGTAGAATATGTCCAAGCCACCGAAGTCGGTGTTTCAAGATGGTGACACCAATTGCATTATCGTCTCTGTGACCGAACACACGATGCCGAACCTCTGCATTACTGACATGGTGTTGCCACTGAATGTCAGCAATCCTTCGGAGACAGCGATGATCGAACACAGAGAGTCGTCTAACGTCCTCAACTCGGAGAGGCCAGGTTTCACAAGCATAGAGCAAAACTGCTCTCACCGACGCGTTGTAGATCCGGCCTTTTACAGCCAGACTAACATCACGAAGGCGCCAAAGGTGGCCCAGATTGGCATAAGCCGCTCTGGCTTTCACTATTCGTGCATTGATCTCATCACTCACGCCACCACCAGCACTTATGCAGCTACCCAGATACACGAACTTCTCAACTACGTCTATCTGCTCACCATCCAGGGTGAGTACAGGATTAGAATCCTGCCAGTCTTGTAGAAGTACTTTGCACTTGGAAGGTGCAAAGCACATACCATACCTACGGACACTGATTGCCAACTGATTAAGTGCGGATTGCATGGCTTGGGCATTATCGCACAGTAAGACAATATCGTCCGCATACTCAAGGTCGAGAAGTCTTTCTCCAGGCAACAGATCCACACCACCATTACTTACATTCATCAGAGCTGTTTCCAGAATGTCATCGATGGCAAAGTTGAAGAGGAATGGTGAGATTGGGCAACCCTGCCTAACCCCACTGCTCGAGAGGAACAATGGAGAGAGGTGGTTGTATGCTCTCACTCTGCCTGAGGTGTTTGTATATAGGGCTTTTAGGATGTTAATAAACTTCTCAGGCACACCCTTCTTCAATAGACAATCCCAGAGAACAGTCCTATCCAACGAATCGAAGGCAGCCCTGATGTCAAGAAACACTACGATTGTTGGCCTTTGAAAAGTATGGCGGTGTTCTAACATTTGGCGGAGGGTGAAGATATGATCAATACATCGTCGACCAGAACGAAACCCAGCCTGCTTCTCGCGAGTCAATCTTTCTCTGGTTTTGAACAACCTACGAAGTATGACGGAAGCCAATAGCTTGGACGCAATCGGAAGTAAACTTATCCCCCGATAGTTGTTACAGGAACGACGTGAACTCTTTTTAAAGATAGGGACAACTATCGACTCATTCCATGACGTTGGTACACTCTCTAGTTCCCAAACCTTTGTAAGCAACGTCGTCAATTCCTTAGCCAGAAAGTCACCACCATCTTTAAAAAGGGCCGGAGGTAAGTCATCTGGGCCAGGTGATTTGTAACGCTTCAAGAGTTGGAGTTCCTTGCGGACTTCCTCCTCGTTTGGTGGATCAGTCGTCACCGGCCATGGAGGGCAGGACAGTCTGACCGATGTTGCCGGAGCAGCAGGCCAGTTGAACTGCCCTTCAAAAAACTCTGCCCATCGTCCAAGACGTCGATGGATGTTAGTGATTGGCATCCCATCATCCTCGCAGATTGTTTCACTCACACCAGACTTCTTGCTGCCAGTGGCTCGGATGAGCTGGAAGAGCTTCCGGTAGTTACCAGATGCAGCTGCTGCTTCCAGCTCATTAGCACGCATCGACCACCAGGCTTCTCGGTCCTTACGCAAGCTTTGCCCAATTTCCTTACGTAACATCCTTCGTTTATGGTCAAACTCACGGTCACCCGGAGTAGACCGACGGTCTTCAATGAGTTGTAAGGAACCAGAAGAAACCCAGTGCTTAAAAGCGGGACGTTTCGCGAACCCACAACTGACTGTACCCGCCATTTTCATGGCGTCATGCAATTGCAACCAATGCTCATCTATACTTTTCGGTGGAGTGGTAGCTAGCCTAGAAGCTAGCTCGGTTCGATACTTACTAGCAACAGAAGTTGCAACCAGCTTGCTAATATCAATCCGTTGATGGCGGTCACTTCGTTGTCCACTGAAAAGTAAGGCAAGATTGGCGCAGACCAAGGCATGGTCAGAGTCCAGATAGGTACTCCGAAAGGAGCGGCAGTCTTGTACACAACCACGCCAGCGGTAGCTGATCGCGATGTGATCAATCTGAGTCCAGGCTTGAGATGCAGAGGGAGGACGCCAGGTGGCACATCGGCGATGACTGTGCCGAAAGTTAGTGCTAGCCAGAAACAGGTTGTGGTCTGTGCAAAGTTTCAGTAGACGGTCCTCGTTATCTGACCTGCGACCAACGAGTCCCCATCGGCCACCTAAACGACTCTCTTCTGTGCCTAGACGCCCGACCTGAGCATTCAAGTCTCCGGCTAGTACTAAAATAACTGTCGAACGCACTTTCTGGAGAAGAACTGATAA